CGGCGCTCAGCTTTCTTTATAGTCCAACTCTCACATCCATACATGGCTACTGGAAAAACCATAGCCTTGACTAGATGGACCTCTGTTGGCAAACTAATGTCTCTGCTTTTTAATATGGTGGTACTTAGCAAAGTAAAAAGCAAAATCAGAATAATACCCCATTACATACCAAAACACATTGGCAAATTTTCAAAACTCTGACAATGTCAATTTTGGCAAACATTGTAGAACAGAGGAAACTCATATTCTCACATACAATTGGTAAAAGAATAAATTAATGCACATACTTTTAAAAGTTTACCGTTACCTATTAGAATAGAAAATACCCTTACCTATGATCTAACAATTTCACTAATGTATAAATAACTCAAAAGGAACTCATGCTTATATATACCAGTACGCTATACAAGAATTTGCCTGTTACTCCAGGTGTTTCCTGACTTCCTACTTTTGCATTACAGTCACCTATAATGAAAAGGACATCTTTTGGGGGTGTTAATTCTAGAAGGTCTTGTAGGTCTTCATAGAACCCTTCACCTTCAGCTTCTTCAGCATTACTGGTTGGAGCATAGACTTGGATTACCGTGATATTGAATGGTTTGCCTTGGAAACGAACTGAGGTCATCTGTCGTTTTTAAGATTGCATCCAAGTACTGCATTTCGGACTCTTTTGTTGACTGTGATGGCTGCTCCATTTCTTCTAAGGGATTCTTGCCCACAGTAGTAGATATAAAAGTCATCTGAACTCTTTTCCTCCCTGGCTGCTTGAAGATCAGCCGTCATCATGAACACAGTAGCTATCCGGACTAGGAAGTTTATGACCAACCAACCGACTGCTTCAGCAGAAACAAATGGTCATTGATGTTCTTCACCCTGGAAAAGGCAACAGTACCTAAAACAGAAATTCGGGAAAAACTGGCCAAAATGTACAAGACCACACCAGATGTCATCTTTGTATTTGGATTCAGAACCCATTTTGGTGGTGGCAAGACAACTGGCTTCGGCATGATTTACGATTCCTTGGATTACGCGAAGAAGAATGAGCCCAAACATAGGCTTGCAAGACACGGCCTGTATGAGAAGAAAAAGACCTCAAGAAAACAGCGAAAAGAACGCAAGAACAGAATGAGGAAAGTTAGGGGGACTGCAAAGGCCAATGTTGGTGCTGGCAAAAAGAAGGAGTAAAGATTCTGCAGTGACTGTATCTGTGGTGCTTGTGCAGATTTTTCATGAAAGAATAAACTAAGACCTTTTCCAAAAAAAAAAAAAAAAATAAAGGACACTGAGGGACTGTTTGAATTTAAAGGGGGAAAAAAAAACCCCTATCTACATGCTGTCTACACAAGACTCACTTCAGGAGAAAGGATACACACAGTCTGAAAGTGAAAAAATTGAAAAACATTTTAATGCAAATATAAACAAAAAGAAAGTTGGACTAGCTATACTCATATCAGAGAAAGAAGATTTTAAAACAAAGACTATAAAAGACAAAGAAGAGCAAACATAATGATAAAGGTGTCAATCCAGGAAAAAGGTAACACATTTACAAATGTACATGCATCTAGGAGAGGAGGACTAAGATATACAACTCAAATATTAACAAACCTAAAGGAGAAATTGAAAGCAAACAATAACAGTAAAAGTCTTTAACACCCTACTTACATCAATGGATAGATCACCCAGAAAGAAAACAAATTTCAATCATGTATTGGATTACATGGACTTAATACACAGAATATTCCATCCAAAAGCACCAAAATATACATTCTTTTCAAGTGCACATGAANGCAGTTCCTGGGGTCGCAAAGAGTCAGACATGGCTGAGCGACTGAACTGAACTGATACAAAGATGGCTATAGCAGCATTGTTCATGATACCAAAACAAACAAAAAACCTGGAAACTATTTAAATGGCCATCAATAGCTGACAAATGGAGTGAACAAAATATATCTACAGCAAGAACATAGATGAATCATAGGACATAAGAAAAAGAAAAAGAAAAGGGGGAGGGCACTTTCATGATGGTCCAGTGTTTAAAAATATGCCTGCCAATGCCAGGGACACAGGTTCAATCCCTGGTCCGGGAAGATCTCACATGCCATGGAGCAAATAAGCCCATGAACCACAACTACCAAGCCAGAGCTCTAGAGCCCATGAGCCACAACAAGAGAAGCACCACACACTGCAACTAGAAAGTAGCCCCCCCTCGCCACAACTAGAAAAAGCCTGTGTGTATCCATGAAAATCCAAGACATCTGAAAATAAACAAATATATAAATAACTTTTTAATTTAATTTTAATTTATACAGTGTGTATAAAGTCCAAAACAGCCAATACTAAACTATATTATTTAGGTAGGAATTTATAAGTGGAACACTATAAAGAATAGTAAGCAAACAGTTATCATCAAAGTCAGGAAAGTGGTTGCTTTTGGAGGTGAGGAGATTATGATGAGGAGAAGCAAATGCTCCATTTTAGAGTGCTAATAATGTTTTTAACCTGGGTAGAGTTAAACAGAAAATTTTTTTATAATCATTTATTGTTGTTGTTGTTGTTTAGTCACTATGCTGTGTGCAACTCTTTTGCAGCCCTACGGACTGTAGCCTACCAGGCTCCTCTGTCCATGGAACTTCCCAGGCAAGAATACTGGAGTGGGATGCCACTTCCTCTTCCTGGGAACTTCCCAACCCAGGGATCAAATCCATGTCTCCTGCACTGGCAGGCAGATTCTTTACCATTGAGCCACTAGAGAAGCCTAAACATTTATTTAGGCTGTACATAAAACTTTGCATTGCTAATACATTTATATGGCAATTCAAATCATTAAGCTAATGTAGAAATGAGCCACTAGAGAAGCCTAAACATTTATTTAGGCTGTACATAAAACTTTGCATTGCTAATACATTTATATGGCAATTCAAATCATTAAGCTAATATAGAAATTTAAAACAAATGTTTTGCAGAGGTCATTATTATTATTCCATGTGTTCCTCTAAATTTTACAGCCCCTTTTGAAATTAATTTCTGGCCAATGTGATTATTTCTGGCTACAGGATGTTAGCAGAAGCTGTATGTGTCCCTTCTAGTCTGAAGCAGGGACAGGCATAAGTTCTCCATATTCTCTGTTTCCTGCTGTGGCAAGCCTTGAATCCCTATGTTGAAATGGTAAAGCCACAAAATGTAAGCAAATTAGATTCCTGGATCCCAGTGTGAAAGGGAGCTGTTCTACAGAACTGCTAGACACTCAGAGCAACTTGCATGAATGAAAAATAAACTTGATGTTTAAAGGCATTAAGAGTTTAGGATTTATATGTCTCCGCAGCATAGCCTAGCTCAATTGACTAATATGAGTGGGTCAAGAGCAAATAAGATAAAAATAAACAGAATTAAAAGTATTAAACAGTATGTTCCTCAGAATTTTTTAAGTGAAATGTGAAATAGTGGTAAAGTGGCAAGGAAATAAAGTGAGAAGGGCTAACATATGTCTAATTACAACTTCAGAATAAAATCATCTACAGAAAATACGCAAAAAGGAAAACTACTATACAGCATATCTGAAAGTTGTTGTAAGACTAAATCCTAAGGATTCTCATCACAAGGAAAAAAAAAAACATTTTTTTTCTCTTTTCTTGTGTATCTGTATGAAATGATGGATGTCAACTAGACATTAATCCTTACACAGTATATGTAAGTCAGATTATGCTGTACATCTTAAATTTATACAGTGCTGTATTTCAGTTATATAAAACTGGGGGAAAAAAATCAACCTCCTGTTCTCATTCCTCATATATTATAAGTAATCCATGGTATTGATATTTCTTTCTTGGCTCCCAGGACACCATAATCTACCCCTCTGATCATTCCTTCTAAATTTACTTTGCAAATTCCTCCTCCCCTCATCAATCTCTTCATGTTAGAGTGACCAGTGGCTTAGATCTTTGACTTTAACTCTTGTTCCTTTCCACTCACAATGTCAGGGCTTTAAATATCCATATTATGACACCTCAAAGTTACATGTCTGAAATTTTCTCCCCCAATATTGCTCCATCCATAGCCTTGTATATCCTAAATTGGATTCATCCTTGACCCCTTTCTTCCTCTCACAACCCATAGATCAATCATTTGGAAATTCATTTGGCTCTACCTTAAAAATATTTACAGAGTAACCACCACCTACCATCTTTACTGCTCCTCCTCTCAAGCAAACCACTTCAATTACCTGAAATATAACAATGGCCTCTTGGCTCTCTAGAGACTGTTCCCACCCCAGCAGTCCCAGTGCTCCTTTTAAAATTTACAGCCAATCATATCATTTCTTTTCACAAAACCAAAATGGCTCTGCATCTCACTCCGAGTAAGAGCCAAAATGCATCTAATGGCCTAAAACACTTTACATGAACTGATTGCCCTACCTTCTTATCTGCCTTTCCTACCAGGTTTCATGTTGTTCATTAAGCATATTGAGGTCCTTACTGTTCCTCAGATACACCAAGCAAAATCTTCAGACACCACATGGCCAAATATGTCACGTCCTTAGTCTTTGCTTAAATGCTACTGTCTCAATGAAGCCTACCCACACCATCCAATATAAAATTGCAGAAAAAAAACAAAAACAGTAACTCAAAATGCACCCAATGTTCATTGCAGTACCATTTACAATAGCCAAGATGTGGAAACAAGCTAAGTAGCCATCATAGATGAAACAGTAAAGAAGCTGTGACGTATATATACAATGGAATATTATTCAGCCATAAAAGATAGTCAGATCTTGCCTTTAGTAACAGCATGGATGGACTTTGAAGGCATTATGCTAAGTGAAATAAGTCAGAGAAAGACATATACTATTATGATATTATTTCAGTCAGTCAGTCAGTTCAATCACTAGTCGTGTCTGACTAGCATGGGGTTCCAGGTGAGGAAAATGGTCTAGGAAATGACTGCAAGACAGGGGTAAGTAAACAAATAAATAAAATTGCAAAACATCTCCTATCCAAAGAACTCCTTACCCTACTCTCCTGTTTAAGTGTAATATTTATCACCTTGTAAAATACTGTGTAATTTACTTATTTATTACATCTATTGTTTCTTGTCTCCCCCATCAGAATGTAACGGTCATGAATGTTTGTTATAACCAGACTCTGAAATAAAGAGATGAATGTAAGTAGTTCATTTTAAAGGAAACACCAGTAGGCACAGTGCAGGGTTGGGAAATGAGGGAGGAAAGGGAAGAAAGTCAGTGATCCTGAGCAGGTTATCACTGGAGAAACAGGCTTCATCCCACAGCTCAGAAAGACTAGGTGAGGTCTGGCTCAGAATTATCCCATACCCCTGGGTACTAATTCTGCCTTATTTCTAGACTTCCCACATGGCCAACCTTACTTCTGTAGCTAGAAAACATCCTCAGGCTTAGAGATGTGGGAAAACATTAACATCTATAGAAACTGTCTGCAAGCAACTACCACAAGATAAGGTGAAGATATATGGGTAGGTACCAATCACCTCACTTCAGTTCAGTTCAGTCGATCAGTCATGTCCAACCTTTGCAAACCCATGGACTGCAGCATGCCAGGCTTCCCTGTCCATCACCAACTCATGGAGTTTACTAAAACTCATGTCCTTTGAGTTGGTGATGCCATCCAGCCATCTCATCCTCTGTCATCCCCTTCTCCTCCCACCCTCATTTTTCCCAGCATCAGAGTCTTTTCCAATGAGTCAGTTCTTCACATCAGATGGCCAAAGCATTGGAGTTCCAGCTTCAGCATCAGTCCTTCGAATAAATATTCCGGACTGATTTCCTTTAGGATGGACTGGTTGGATCTCCTTGCAGTCCAAGCGACTTTCAAGAGTCTTCTCCAATACCACAGTTCAAAAGCATCAGTTCTTCGGCACTCAGCTTTCTTTATAGTCCAACTCTCATATCCATACATGACTACAGGAAAAACCATAGCCTTGACTAGATGGACCTTTGTTGGCAAAGTAATATCTCTGCTTTTTAATATG